ACCTGCAGTTCTTAAACACCTCATCCAGTCACGAAAACCTGAACCTGGACAACCCTGCGCTAACTTCCACGCCGGTGTGTGGCCATAAGATGGCTGTTACCACACCGTTCCACAGGGACCAGACTTTCAAAGCTCAGAAGGAAAATCATGTGTAAGTCTGTTATCATGTTGTCTTGTCGGATTCACGAGGGTTCATTTCTTCAGGTTTGCATGCAACCAAAGTGCTGGGTCAATGTATGCTTCCCACAGAGCTGTTTGCTAACACATTCAGATTTTTTGTAGTTTGGAGTAAAACTTCCACTTTATAACTGTGGAGGTAGGTTATTAATACAGAACAATCACGCATATAGACTCACCAGTTTTTTTCAATAAAGTCATTCCACCTTATCACAGTTAAATAGATATTCTGCCAGAAAAGCGGAATGGATTATATTGGAAATACGATATATGGAAATGTTTGCAAAATATTTGGAAATATATGGAAAATATTTGTCTGACTCTTACAGCAGCCACTGCCTGTATGCACGTATTTCTGTAAAGAAGTAATATGTCCAGGCGTGTTCCTTTAAACTTTTTCTCCCTCTTTTTAAAGTTTCAGAACTCCAGCATTCAAGAGGTCGATATTAGAGAGCTCTCCAAGAACACCCACTCCATTCAAAAACGCACTTGCAGCTCAGGAAATCAAATATGGTCCTTTGAAGATGCTGGTAAGAAGGAAACAATGATAAAAGTTGCTTTGATATTAGTGCAGAGGGATGTTCTGGGACTTGGATATAACGTTTCTTCCTTTCAGCCTCAAACTCCGACTCATCTTGTAGAAGATCTGCAGGACGTTATCAAGCAGGAGTCAGAGGAATCTGCAATAGTCGCTGGGCTACATGAAAGTGGACCCCCTTTGCTGAAGAAAATCAAACAAGAGGTAAATCTCAAACTTACCTGAGGCAATTTAATTCAGCACTCTTTGCTGAGAAACTTATACCAATACCTTTTCTGTTAAATAGCTGTGTCTGTTTTTCTTTCATGTGAGCCCCAAGATCTTAGTGTCGGTTCTATATAGTATACTAGGCATGCCTAATTCATCTCCCATTGATTTCCATAGAAGTCTTTCTGCTGTTTTCAGCAGGGGTTTGCTTGGGCCGTTCTAATGCAGTTTTCGTTTGAAACTTAAAAAAAAAATTAGACAGGAATTTGGATTGAATCTTTCTAATATTGGTGAAAACTATAGAAGAACCCCACGGGGACCAAGCTCCATGGAGTGACTTAGAAACCTGAACAATTGAGGACATTGCATTATATTACTTTGTCACTAAAGTTCTAAAAATACATATATTCTCAATCCTTTCTAGGGGATTAAACTCCTGAATACTGACAGAGTGCTGAGTGGAAGTATTCAAAGTTTTATTAGGTGGGGATTTTTTTGAGAACCCTTGAACTTTTTTCTTCTGGAAAGAGCAAGGGTGCTGTAAAAGACAGTACTGTAAACACGCATTATGCACAGCTGTGAAGAATACTTATTCAATTTCTGAAGCGACTGACAGATAAATCTCCTTCTGGTCAGTTAGGTACTGGTTTTTATCATGGTGACTTTCCTGCTTTCAGGTGGAGTCTCCAACAGATAAAGCTGGAAATTTTTTTTGCTCAAATCACTGGGAAGGAGAAAACCTGAACACTCAGCTCTTTACACATGCATCTACTATGGAAGATGTGCCAGTAAGTGCAAGTTTTCACTCCACCAAATGATGTTTCTGTTTTACATCCCTGTTCCGTTCTTAAATGCAAGAGAGAAAATATTTTGTCTGCCCTTCCTCACAAGTAGGCATTATTCATTATTTCCATATTGTTTTCCTGTATTAAGCATAAGAAGCAAAATCCCGCTCTTAATTAGATCACTGTCATGCCTAGAGAAGGTAGCAGATGTTGCAGTCATTGTGCAGCCCACAGTCTTTGTAATGAGCCTGCACTTGGAGGATGCCTGCACCTGTGTATAGAAATGACTAGGTCACAGAGTTAAAACTGATAAAAGAAAGAGAGAGTCTGTTTTGTTCTGTGCAAGGGAGACCTTGCACGAGCACGGTTCCCTTTGCTTCGCCAGGACCATTCAATGTTACTGTTATTCTTGCACTTGGGAGTTTCACTGGATGAAAAACCTTTGCACGTGACAATGCTCCTGCAAAGCCAAGTCCCAGGGACCCCAGGCTGAGGTCTGCTCCCAGGCCGAGCGCTCTGTCTGTGACCGTGCCCTGTGTTGCACACTCTGCAGTCAGGCTGAGTTTGCTTTTAATACATTTGAATTCAGGTTGTTCTCTTGAGTTACTGAAAACGGTTTTGTTTTTCTTTTCCTGTTCAGAATCTTCTTACCAGCTCCGTTTTAAAGATGCCCGTGTCTGAAGAGGATGGTAGTTTTCACAAAACATTTGCAGTACCTAGGAACAGGCCACTAGCTAGTCCTCTGCAGGTAACTATTTTTTTATAAAAATACCCTTTGTGTGTAAAAATACATATATATATATATATATTGCTTTCTCACGGACTGATTTTAAGTTTGGAGTATGGAAGAAGGAAACATGCAGATGAACGTGGTTGAGGATCTCCTTTTACCGGTGGAGTGTGAGGACGCGGAGGCTACAGCTGCGTCTGGAAGCTAAACGGGGCAAAGCCCTGTGCGTGGGGCGTTGTAACTCAGCTGGCTCTGGCGTTAAATTGGTAGGATTGAGAATTAACGCGGGCCAGAGGGTTTTTCCTACAGACTTCTTGTAGGCGGCTCTGCTGTCTTGGAGAGCAGGCAGGCTGAGCGATGTGGTGGTGGCCAGAACTTGTCACTGGCCTCGAGGTGAGAGCAGAGGCTCTGGCACTGGCGGGCTGGCCGGCACAGATGCAGTCAGTATTGCCCATCCAGCCAAGCACCAGGATGGCCTTTCCTGGAGCGCAGGCTGGGGTCGCACCAGAAATGTGGTTGTAAACGGTGGTCTGAAGTGGCCTCGTAACACTTACGGCCAGTTGTAATCTTGGGATCTCTGAACTGAATTAAATGTGTGACTGTTTTAATGTAAGCCAGATGTGAGGCTGGGTTTTACATATTTATGGTTTTTCCAAGTGTTAACAAACATAGACATTTGCTTTACTTTAAAATATAGCTGTTACCTAGGGCCTGATCCAAAGCCCACCAAAGTCATTAGCAGACGCTTTGTCAGCTCTTGTGGACAGAAGTCATTCAGAGAATGAAACGCAGCGTAGATAATGATCAATTATTCTTCCAGCACAGCCCGTATTTTTGAGGTAGATGAATAAGTGATTTTATATCCCTTCTCCACACAGGCAAATTGAGGGAAAGTATCTCATTCCCCAGGGTGAGTCACTGTCAGAAAGGAAATTATAACTCCATAGTTCCTGACTTTCAGACAGATAGTCCACACGGCTAATCCTTTCTTTCCTCCCTTTTTCCAGAGTTTACATTAGGAGTTATTTACAGTAGGAAGGAATGAACAAAACCTGATTTTGAGTAAGCATCTCTAGCCAGGCATTATAAAGTGAGGTATTAAAATTTCACGCATGTCCCCATTTGGCACAGTTTGCCACGGAGTAGATTTGTATTTTGCACTGCAGAATCATTTGATGAAAAGCAGCTTTGGAGAGCAGGGACTGTGTTTCCCCTCTGCATGGGGGTGTCTGTAGGGGCCAAAGACTCACACTCCCTGTTGCTTATTTGCTCTTTTCTCATGAACTGTGTTTCTTAGCGGCACCGTGGTAGACGGCTAAGAGGAGGGTTCGAAGATCCGCTGCCCCTGGGTTAGGGCAGTTATTTAGGGACTGAGTTCAGACCATCTCATGGCAAAGGAGCCCAGGGCTCCAGCTTTGCAGGGGGTCGTTGGAGCTCCCCGGCTGGCACACGGGAGGAGGCTGCTTGTCCCGCTGCCTTGCCAGTGCACCGATGCCTGGCCATGTCCCCCAGCCAAACTCTGGCCTCCTCCATAGGATTAGGGCAATGTTTTCAGGCAGCTAAACAGAGTATGTTGTGGATTGTCCTGTTAGTGGTAGTTGCCTGCACTCAGCCTGTAATAAAAACGAAGCATCTGAGGTGCCTGTAAAATAGGATCTTTTGATCTTTGGCATAACAGTGTTATGTTTCCTGCTATCTAAAAATAATTTCTTTACAAGCTGCTGTAAATGAAAGGGCTTGTTTAACCTTCTCTCCTCACTCACCCTGATTCTGTTCAGGAAGTTTACCTGAGTCTACGTTTGTGGGCCATTCTGGATCCCATTCTTCAGCCCTTGCCCAGGAAAAGCCTTTAATTTTGCATGTTAAAAGTCAGGTATTCTCATTGTTTGGATAAAGATGGTTTTTCCTTAAGTAGGAACTAAGTTAAAAATCACTTCTCAACTCATCTCAGTGTTTAAAACGTGTTGAACTGAAAGAAAAAGCAGCTGTAAAAAGACCCAAAATGATTACTTAGTATGCAGCTTCTTGGTGTACCTGTATGAAGGTAAAATTCTTCTTTCTGCTGATGAAGAAACATGGAGTGTTTCAGCTGAGATGTAATCCTAAATGAAGAGTGAGGCTAGAGGTTTCTGTGACAGTGGCACAGTACAGCTTTTTCGGAATGAAATACAGACTTTTTATAGCAATGCCGTCTAGTCTGCCCATCGCTGCACTCTCTGATTTGGACTCAGTGTCACGGTTAAAAGGGAGAATCTGCTTCATGCCTGGTATGACTTGTTTGGCCTCACGTCAGTGGGGAATTTGGCCCCGTACACCTGCGAAAGGACAGGCGGTCTGGCTGTCTTTCATGCCAGAAACTGTTGCTGCTCTGCCCTGATGCTTCTCCCCCTCGGTCCCAGTGGAGCCGGACGTCTGTGATGAGGACACAGGGTGTCTAAAGGGTGCAAAGCAATCGAAAACGTTAGCGCTTGCGCTTGGTTTTGACTGGTGGCATTTTGTACGTGATCAGTTTTTAGCATGTTCTTGTTGTATGCTTTCTAGTTCATAATTTGGTATATCGCCCACGTACATGTACACGCACACTGGCACACACACAAACGGTGGACTAAATCCATTGATTCCATGCAGGTAGACATTAAACATGAGGGAACTCATCTGGGTGAAATTTAATTGTGTCTGCATATGTTTACATTGCTGCAGTTAATATTTTGGGCCTGATCCAACTGCTGTTACTCAGGCAGATTCTCATTGACTTCAGTCCAAGTAAGAATTAGAGCACTCTTTGCACCTTGGGATGTGTGCACAGAGACGGAAGAGGGAAAGAAAGAGAGCTGTAAACTTACTTTTTTTTTTAATATGCTTGGTTCTTAAAATTCTATTTTTTTTTTAAATTTGAACTTGCATAAGAGGGAGGTAGCATGTTTACCAGCCCGCAGTATTTTTCATTGCTTTAATAATTTGCACTGTATTTACATAAAGAAAAAGATATTTGGCTAGCAATAAGCTCACCAAAGTGCCTGATTACTTATTGTTTTGCTGTTAAATTTCAAAGAAGGCAGGAGTAACAAATGTTCAAAGCAATCTCTACAGATATTTTTTACTGCATTTTGGACACATGACTGGTCATATGCAACTTAGTAGTCACTGACCATATCAGATAGAATGATACGATTCACCATCACTTAGGAGGAACAGCACGTCTCATCATTTGGCATGTGAGGTCAGGTAGCTGCATATAACTGCACTGGGAATGTGGTGGTATCGGTGTTGCACTAGAGCAATGGGAGAAAAAGCCCTCATAGACCCAAGATGAGTTCCCAAACTCACGAGGGCTTCATCCTCATTTGGTCCCCTGGTTAAATCTCTGTGAAACATTAGATGTAAAGGCAGCTGTGTGTAGGATCTTTCTGGTAAGGTAAGAAGATTCAGCCAGCTTTTTTACCCTGCATGGCAAATCTCACGGCTGTGCCTTGGGTATTCTCTTCCTGGCAGGAATAGGAGATGTCTCACCAAACCCATGTGTTGCCTTGGGGTGGAATTACTCTTACACTCCATTTACAAGAAGCAAATACTTCTGCTTTATATTGGTGGAGTTAGTTACAACCCATATTTTTGCATCCTATGTTTTTGTCACTCAAACAATACTTAGTTTCACTGTAGGGAGTTTTTAGCCTCACTAGGAACGTTTCCTAGGGTTAAGATTTTGCGATAACGTATGAAGCCCTTATTGAAGCAGACTGATGATCTGTACTGAGCATTTGCTTGAACAGTGCCCTATAAGAGGTTACATGAAAATTGTGTTTCTGGCCCTTCCTGTGTAAAAGTTATGTTTTATTTCACAGTATGTTCCGTAGCAGTAGCAGTACATAATACAGACTATCCTAACATAGGCATTTTAACAGATGGAAAAGTAGGCTAAATCATAGACCATCCACCTAACCCTGCAGGCTATCAAAAGACACCATGAAATGGAACCTTTTAAGAAAATAGCGCTGCTTTGATATCTTCTTCCCCCAGTAACAAAGGAAACAACACAAGGTAGAAGCCCTGCAAGCTAAAGAGAATGTTCTTCAACCCCTAGCTCCTGTCACTTTCCATTTTTTAACCACAGACTGACACGTTTGAGCTCGAATTTCCTGACTTTCAGTGGTTTATGTAACCATTTTCTTTAAAGAGTAAGTTTAAAGGATTTTAAAACAGTTACTTGGTTAACCTTTTCAAGAGTGTGAGCTGTCATTAACCTTAATTTTCTTAGTTTAAAAAGTGAAATGTGGAATTTCATTTGCAGCTGGTTGTCAGACAAAATGTATAGGTAAGGCAGCATGCTCTCCTGCAGCAGCAGACTTTCTCTTCTTTTCCTCCATGGCTTTTTTGGGGGCAAGAAGATCCCAAAGTCTCATATTCTTTCTTTAATTAAAGGAGAGGGGGAAGCATGCTGTGCTCAAGCCCCAGGAGGTTTAAGATTTGCACGGCAAAGGAAGGTAGCCCTGCAGGTTTCCCTCACTTGTGTTGTCCCTTCTCTCGCCAGTGGCTGATGTGTACAGGAGCTGTGCTTGGCACAGCTGAGGGAGCAAAAGGAGGTTCAAAGTTACCGGTCAGTCATCGCATGTTTTCCTCCCAGGGCAGCAGAATTTGGGTTGCAAACAGATCAGGAGTTACAGCTGCCCCGAGCAGGCGATGGTCTCAGAAAGAAGAAAAGTGAGAGCTTAACTATCATCCATTTGCAGCAATGTGTTCTAATCCATGAATTAAAAAAAAATACTTAAGGACAAAACTAGAAAAGGACTGAATATCCTAATGTGAGTTGCAGGTGCTTAGCCCATTTCTGTATCTCTTCCATTAGTCTTACTTGGAAAGCTCACACATCTCAAACAGGAGTCTTGTCTGAGTAAGGGCTTCAGGGTTAAGCTCTTAAAAGTGCCACCAAATAGCTGTTTCTAGCTCTGGTATCAGGCTTATAATAAAAGCTGAAAAGTTGGACTATCTTACTCTCTCACATTTAGCAAGCTGTATTTCTGAGCAACTGGGGAAGCCCCAGAGTTTAGGAGAAGGCTGTCCCATGCCCCAGAGGAGAACTAGCAACATGAGCAGAAATAGTGCTCTGCTTTAGCAACTGAAGTAGAATTCATGTATGGTCACTTGAGTTTTTAATTAGTCTTTACTGTCTGGTCTTGATAAGTAAAAGGGCTTCTCTTGGTTCAGCACCCTTACGGAATAGAAAGCCATGCTATTCGTGATACGCATCATATTCTGCTAGGAAATTGCTTTCTTTAGGGTGTTGATTGGTTTATTGTTTCAGAAGGAGCACTGCATTTCTGTTGCAAGCCTTCTTTCCAGCGGCACGTTCTGCAAATTGTCCATACCATGTAATCTAAGGGAAACCTGGCAAGAAATCCAGCTTTTTGCAGTGGAGAAAGACAATAAAAATACCTTCTAATAGTCTGAGCCTTCTAAATATTTTAAACATTTTGGCTTTTTTTGGTTTTAAATGCCAGCACAACTTGGCTAAATGAATAGGAACGTAAGTAACACCAATAACTTTGCTGGGAGGTGCTGAAGATACCTGCCAGCATAGTGGAGATTTAAAATCTGTCTTCTAACACAGTTCTTTGCCCAAAGATTTCTGCTACACTTCCATCACTTCCATCAGTTTGGGAGCTCGGTAGTGCAGGACTGCAGCAGCATTTGGTTTTGGCATCCACTCCTAACAGGCAACGTGGTGTAACGTAGGAGCTTTCTTAAGCTGTGCAGACAGCACATGAAAAGACAGTCCAGGCTCCGAGTGCAGAAGGACTAGTTCTGTTAGAAAGCTGCCTTTCCAGAGTCTTTTCTTTCCTTACTCTGGTCTGTTTTCTCTAGATGGTCCAAGTTTTTATTTAAAGTGCTTTAACTGGATATCCCAGTTACAGCTTTGACAGTTTGTTTACAGTTCGCATCTCCCTGAGGGCAGCTGAAGGCACGTTACAGGATAAGTGAGGTAGTTTTGCTGCCAGGAGAAGGATGTGCTGGTAGGATTACTGAGGTTAAAAAAAAATGAGCTAGGGAGAATGACATAGCTGGAATTGTACCATGGGTCTGTAATTTTATCCTATGGGAACTCATAGTAGTATACATTCTTCTCCCCTCCACTCCCTGTTTTAACTTAAAGGGAGAAAACTGCTGTGAGTAGAAGAGAAAAATACAGCTGGAAGTACTGGCTGAAAAGGCTTAAATGCTCTTAATTGACCGCAAAACTAAGAGTAGTCTCCCGCTCTTTGAGGCAATAGAAAGAAATTTATATGGAATGAATTGTACCGCGGAAATCCCTTTCTTTCCCCACTGGCTAGGGATTTAGGTGCCAAAACGACCACCTCACTCTTAGACGGCTGAATTTAAGTGGGATGAATCCACTGAATTAATGAAAACATGCCCATCAATTTTGGTGGGTTTTGGGTCAGGCCTTTTGGCTTCTAGTTACAAAGCTTTTGTGTTTCCATCTGTTGATTTGCAGAGTTGGACCTTTAAATGTGATAGGGGAGATGCAATGAGCATTTTGCAAAAGGAGTGGTTTGACTTTGCTTTCCGTGCTGTTTTCCTCCATGCCTCTAGCTTTCTGCCCAGGTCATCTTCTCTTCTGATACATTTGCTAAGCGCTGCTTTCTGTGGGGGGCTGCCGCTTTCCTGTAACAGAGCCCTGTCAATACTCGCTGCGGTGCTGGCATGGAAGGAGGCGTTGTGCTTTTCCCTTTTCACCAAGTGCTTTTCCCTTTTTACCAAGTGCTTTTCCCTTTTTACTAAGTGCTCCCATAGCCGTGTGCGCCCAGAGACGGCAAGGCGCTCTGCCTGGGTCGTGGGACCCAGCGCTCCCTGCCAAGAAGGGAAGGAAAACTTCTGCGTCGGGATGACTTTCACACGTGCCTCCGGCACCGCGCTGCAGGGCTGGCAAGGCAAAGGCATTGTGCTTTGTTGTGTGTTGGCTGCCGAGAGACAAGGCTTCAGACAGAAAATGTTTATTAAAAATACCCACTTGAAATGTTATCTGGGTTCCCCAGGACAGAATTGAAAGTTCTCTTAGTAAATATACTACTTTAGGAAATATACTACTTTCGGTCAAATTCCACTTACTTTACTGGAGCAAAGCTCTCACCACCGTCAGTGAGACTGCAAAGTTAGTTTCTTTATAAATTTGTCATAGAGGAAAAAAAACAGTGTAATGTATTTCTGGGGAAATAATACAAGGGTCAAAACTCCGCGGGGAGCTTCTCCCGCGCTGTCTCTACGGCAAAACTTGAGTAAGTTGTTTCAAGCAGGCTCGAGTCGGGGCTCTAGCTGATCCTCCTGCGGCTTGCTGTGCCTGCTGCCCCGTGCTTCCCTGGGGCGCCGGGGCGGCCGAGCCCCGGGGTGGGGGCAGAGGGTTACTGCCTGCCTGAGCGGGGGCAGAGGGTTACCGCCTGCCTGAGTGGCTGCTGCTGCTGCACTGACATCAGGTTCAACGAAGACCAGGCTTTCAGTGGAATGAGTGACATGTAGCAGCCTGCTGAGATGTTGGAGATATCAGGATACAGATTTATTATTTTTTCTTTTCTAAGCACGTGGCTGTTAATACAAAGAGCTCAGTGTAGATACTAACAATTAAGCCTAATTTATGAAATCGGGACACTCCTTGCCTGAAGTTACTTCTATTTTTTAAAAATTGACATACGGTGACAGATGGACTTTTCTTTACATGTTTTCAGCTATTTAGGGGACTGCTGATCTCACTTTTCTAGAGCAGTATATTTGAGCTTTGGGAGATCATGGGAAAATAACAGTTGGACACGTATTTTTGTCCTTTGAAATGATGGATATTCTGGAACTACCAACTGCTTTTGAGGTGTACAGACCAAATCTGACTTCTAAGTAAATCTAATGGCGTTGTATCAGGCATTAGTTTGGTCCCAGATGCAAATACCTCTGAAATAACAGGGTAAAACATTCACAAGTGCCTGAGTCCCACTGAGGATCAACAGGAGGCTGTAGGTTCCCAGCTGATGTAGGTGCCTTTGAAAAAGTTACCCTGGAAGCTGTTTAACCAAAACATAAAAGAAGCTGTGGCATGTTGCATGCATGTCTGCGGCGCGCAGAAAGTATGTCACACCTGCTTTTTTGGCTGTGGCATGTGCCCTAGGCTGAGCCACAGCACAAAGTATACAGCCAGCCCAGGTTGAAGCACTCCAGAAAAGAGGTGCGTGGCATGTTTGTTAGCTTCACAGATGCGGCTTTCCCACAAAAAGCTGCAGAAAGGTCATGATTTGAGGCTTGACCTGGTTCTCCTTCACACGAGGAACTCCCGTCAGAGACAACATTTGGAACTTGTCTACAGAGAAGAGAAAGCCATGTCTAGGGAAGCCCAGCAGAAGCTTACAGAGGACTAACATGCTTGCCCTCATCTTGGCCACACTGCTTATTTATTCATTAGTTTTGTCCCTTCTAGACTGTAAGCCCTCCGAGGCAGGGAAACTCGGTCCCTGTGTTTGTACCAGTGCCCTGATTAGGGCATGTTATGAGAAATTATCTGTATTTCATGTTGCGCAGCCTTTTACTCTCCATATGTCTCAGATAACACTGTTTACAGTCAGAAGAGCATTCTCTAAACATTTAGGCCAGAGAATAATTTGAGGATCCTCTTGCACAGTTAGCAACTAGAAGGAGCAGCATGAAGAGCCACAGGCATGCCGGCACAGTTCTGCTCTTAGCAGACAGTTTGCAGTCCACTAAATTATGCTTCACGTTGGGAAGGCTTTGGCCATCTCGTTGAGCAATGTAGGTCTTGAACTGCAAAGATGATCCTTTTTGAAAGCAGAGGAAAATAGAGAAGGGTTTCTCCTGGCTTGTCTTTGTTGGTGGATCTTGGGCGTAGACCTTCTCAATCTTCAACAGTACTGGGATCTCCTCACTGGGAGGCAGCTTTCCGTTAAGCACAGTTGTGTGCATTTTTGGAATTCAGGGTATTCATGCAACTAGCTCCATATAATAATAGGGTTTTTATTCAAGGCTTAGTGAGTATCTCGACACGGAAAAGCAGACGCACTGTGTAAGTGAAAGAGTTCAATAGAAAAAAAATAAGCGTGTGTAAATGTGTGTGTATACTGATAAATTCCAGGAGCTTTGAAATTTCATTACTGTTTATAGCTCAAGGCAATGCGAAACAGCTCACATGTGTAGTGAGTACATAAATACAGTGCGCGCAGCCCTCTGCAGATATGTTTATCTCACTTTAACATTATACTAAATGGTGTCTGTAACCTCCATAAATACCACAAGAAGTGAAATGGCTTACACAATAATTAAAATGCTGTTTCTGCTGAGAGTCGTCCCCCCACACCCTCTCTTCTCCTTCGCCAGAGGAGCTCTGCTAATGGGCGCGTGCTAATCGCTGTGCACAGGTGAAAGCAGCTGTGAGCACGGGACTTTTTGTTAGCTGCGGTCAGGCTGCCAAGATTGTCAGGTTCGTTTAGGGAACGCAGGGGCAGAGCAGCTGTATTTCTAGAGTGAAGGTCCGGCAGGTATTTGTGCGTGGTGGTGGCACTGAACTGCGGGCTTTAACCTGGCTGTGTCCTGTTGACTGTAAAGTCCACCTGCAAATAAATTCTCTTTTTAGACCTTTCACGGAAAGGAGAGATTAAAGGCAAGGCTATAGTATGGCCTTGTAGAGAAGACACTGTTTGAGAGAGAAGTGGGGAGGTTTGGATCCTGGCTCTTGTGGTGTGTCCCTCTGCAGGTCGTCTGGTCCGCTCACTCCTCCGGTTGCTAACTGAGAAGTGGGGGTGATATTTTTTTGCCTGTTGTGTTGAGATTTCAGTTTCTCTGGAGATGGGACAACATCCTACTGTGTGTTCACGAAACACTTAATTGCGAGCGGGCCTGGCTTCGGCTGGGTCTACGAATAAATTACATGCTGTTCACCCCAAATCTCTCTGCCTGCTTCTAATGTAGCATCTGAACAACGCCTGGGAGTCAGCGTCCTGCGGGAAGGTCGAGGATCAGATGGCCCTGACGGATCAGGCACGCAAGTACATGGCCGCCTTCCCCACCCGGACTCTGGTGATGTGAAAGGGTCGACGGACAGAGAAGCATTATGGTTTTGAGAACACTTCACCTCCGCTGGGAAATTCCTGTTCCTCTGCATGAAAACTTTTCATGAATGGGAGAAGAGCCTATCTTTGTTGTGGTACAACAGTTGGGAGCAGCACAAAGTGCATTTAGTCACTCAGCATATATATTCTTGTTGGATTTCACCCAACTTAAGAGGATTTTTTTTTTTTTTTAATAAATGATACTTGCCTAAATTATTAGGTATTAAGTTTGAATCAGTAATTAATGATCTTAAGTGCAGACTTACAATAAGGGTAATTTTTTTGTACTTCTTGAGATCAAGCAGACCTAATACACCAGTATTGTTATTTCAGTGATGTGCTAGCCAGGGGTGGGGTTTTGTTTCTTTTTTTATTTTCTTTTATAATAAAAGAGCAGGTACTCAAACAGATGTATTTTAAATCACTGAACAAAATGCATTGGTGTAAAATACTGAAGTGAAAAGCATTACTACAAACGCTAGTCTGTGCAAAGGGGGAAAACTGATCAAGATCGTGAATGCTCAAACATCCATGCCTCTTGAAATACTCTCTCATTCTGTTATGGTTCTAGACCATTATACATTGTGTGTTTCTGTTTGGGGGGGGTAATTAGCTTGCTTTAAAAAAATATTACTGTATGAAACATAGATTTATGAGAAAAATTATATTTTTATTCAGTAATTTAATTTTGTAAATGCCAAATGAATACTGTGTTTTGCTGCTACAGACCTTAGCGTGTAGACATGCTGCTAGTGTAAAAGGAGCAGTAGAGCTTTATATGGAAAGAAAATAAATGTTGATGTTAGCTAATTGACTATGCACTAGCATTTCAGACCTTTTTTATTTTAATTTTTTTACATCATTTATATTTTCCCCCCTTTTTTTTTATAAGCAATATTTTTGAACACTGTTCCTGGGAGATTTTTTTTTTGTCTGGATGTGTTGTTTTGTTTCTCATTGGTTTGTAACAGCATGCATTGCACCTTCATATGTTTGGGAGAACACTGTCTTGTTCGTGTTGTCTGTTTTGTTCCATGTCTAGCTAATTGTTCCCTAACTTGGGTCTTGTGTACTGAATCAGGTTCTTAGAAATATATGGTTCTTTGTACTGCCATACCAAATCTTTATCGATATGGCAAAACACTGATTTGATTTTATTTTATTTTTTTATTGTTTGGTTTTTTTATAACAGCCTCTGACTTTGCTGCCTTAATAGCATTTGGTGCAGCTTCATCTGCACTTAATTTTTTATACAACAATGTACTGCCTTGTAGATAAATAAAGTGTGGTCTTTTTTACTTAAACCTGCATGATCTCCTAATCTTCTTTGTGTTTAGTGTTTTGGTGGTGTTGTTATAGGCAACAATCAAGCCAAGAAGGTTTTTTCCAGCACGCTTAGATAAGTAAGGAATAGAGTTTTGCACACGGTAGGTAGCCTCAACGTCCTCGGTTCTCATTGATTGTTAAGGCAGTGGAAGGAGCACAGCACAAAACAGTAAGCATTTAGCCTGTTGTGGACTTGAGGCACATCGGTAGTGATACCAAAGTCCAGGTCAGCTTCAGCCGGTGGGAGCCTTACTGCATCTTTTGTGCAAAACTGCTCTTCCAAAATGCTGGATAATTTATTTCTTCATCTAAGACCATCAGATCAGGAACCAACTGAATAAGAGCAAAATATTCTGGAGTTCCTACACTGTAGAACATATGTTTTCATGCTTGTCTTAAGAAACCAGAGGTGAGAATATACTTTGAAACTTGGTGCGTTACACTGCACAGCAAATAATTGGACAGACTTGCAGAGCCTCATGCAGCATAAGCACTGAGGACAGTCAGCCCCAGCAATGCTAGAGAGTAAAAGCAATTGCCAACAAAATGAAAAATGAGAAAAAAGATGCAACCTGCCAGGAAAAGAACTGCATTTTATTTAGTAGCTTGAAAATAAATTGTGTGCTGAAATGTTAAGTTGATGCAAGCGCTTCAAAGTCAGACTGATATTCTTGCGAGCAGACTTCAGCTCCATGAAGGAAGCAATTCCTATTTCCAAGCGTGCGTAGCCATGTATGGGCTGAGAACCCCCAAAGGCGCCTTCCAGTCCTTTTTACTCCTTCCCCAGCAGCCTGCCTAGTCCTCCCAGCTCAAGCCATGTGCTGGCCCTCACGCCATGCAGTGCACAGAAAAGGAGGAGCAAAAAGGCGTTTTTCACCCTCTGGAGGGTCCCTTCTCGCATGCTTTTGGCTTTCGGTGTGAGAAGGGAGTGGTGCTTGCAGCAGCCTCCTCCAAGTTTTGCCTGTTTCCATCTATCCCCCATGTGCAGTTTGGGCTCTCGCCGAATCCTGGGGGGGGCCCAGGGAGAGCCAGCCCTGAGGTAGCTTCAGAGCGATTACCCCAGGCAGGACCCCGGCGCTATGGATTACAGAGAAGGGGAAGTCTGTGAGAGCACTTGCCTGTGCAAAAGCTGCGGGCTCACACCGTAAAAACGCTTGTGCAAGATGCGAGGGAGCGCTGCAGGACTCGGTGGTGTGCAACTTGGGAAGAGGGAAAGGTCTGCCTTTGAGGCACGCCACAGCTTAAGCAACGCGTTACAGCTTAAAAGAACAAAAAAAAGGGAAAAAGAAACACCAAGCTTACAACAGGTCTTTGAGGCAAAGCTCTTGCCTTGTAGGGCTCCAGCTGTAACTGCACCAAGCGTGGCTGAGTTTAAACAGATCATTATCTAGTGCCCGGTGCGGAGCGGTGCCGGGAAACATGGAGGCTCACCCTGCAGGTGCCCAGCGTAAGGATTGGGTTTTTTTTCCCCCTACACCTTCAATTGCTTTAAAACCCATTTTTAACATGCAAAACCATTGCAATAATTGTCTTGTTCATGGGTACACTTAGAGCTAACACAGAGGAAAATGTTTCTTTTCCCCCTCATTTCATTGAAAATGCAAAACACTCAGTAGATTAAGGCTGATTTGCATATGTTTCTGCATGCATGTGGTGCTCAGCATGAGCGAAGGAAGAGGCTTTGTTTGAATGCTGTATCCCAGGAACCTGGTTATTTTTCCCCCACTGATACTCGATAAAGTTTCCTTTGTAACAAAGTGCCACCTCCTACATGTCTTTCTCACACAAATACCCCCATGTGACCATGTTCTGCTTACCGCCTGAAATACACATCTTTCTTTCAGAGAGAGACCCAAGAGAAGTCCTACCTGCCTTTTAAATTCCGTCTTGAGCATCAGTCAGGTGAGACCTATCCCAACACAGGTCCACATAAGAGGTCTTGACGATGGCTATTTGGCCTTGCAGTGGCCCTTTGCACAGGTGGATAGCCATCCTGGACCCATTTAAATCTAGAGTAACCTACCAAAAATAAGGGAAAACAGGTTCAGTCAAGTTCTCATTTAATCGAGAGTAGATATTTGGCTCAAATACCTATTAACCTTTTTTCTTCACTGTAATTATAACTTAATAATGTTGTCAGTGGGAATTCTTTTGATTTCTGAAAAGAATTTAAATTATCATTTCAGCATGTGCCACTAATTAAAAATTAAGAGGCAAGGGAGCCAGGGCAAAAATAAAGGAAAATACCAGAGCGTGAGGTGTTTCCCAGCTAGACCCTGTAATTCTCCAGCTCTCTATGCAGAGTCCCAGGGGTTCAACTCCTGCAGGTCTGACCTATGTGACAGCTATAAGCCTAAACTGAAAAAGTGCCAGAGCTTGGACTGGTTTGGGAAAAAACACTACAGCTTGAATGAAAGAGCAGACTTCATAGTTCGGAGCCAAAATAACAAGTCTGCTGAAGGGTAAAGCACAGAGCGCAGCATTGAACATTCGGTAGCATAGAGTGATCTTTCAAAAAAGCCAGAAGAAAAGGATTTTTTTTTCCTCAGTATTTGCAGTCTTCATCCTCATCCAGGCCAGCTAAGTCAATGGCCACCAGCCCTCCCTCAAGCCCACACAGTCAGACACATAAGCAAAGGATGTTTCTGTAGGGTTGTGACTGGAGCATCACAATCATCACCTCCTCTTAAGCCACATGCAATTGTATTTCTGCCTCAGCCCTGATTTGAGACAGGGGTGACGGCAAAGGACAGAAAAAGCCCTTGTTCCTAGAAATCTATTTAAAATGGGTTGTTTTTTCCTAAAAACATCCAAAAAATGGAAAAGAGCATGTTAAAAATATTTCAGTTCAGGAAAGAACAGTTTTGAGGCACTGGTCTGCATCTTGCTTGCCTCCTTGTTTCCTAGCATGGGTGGATTCAGCTGATAGCCCAGCTGTTCCTGGGGAGCAATGGTGGCATTTTGCCTGGGTGGTCAAGGAAAGACACTGGCCACATCTTCCAGTCAGCAGGCTAATGTCTTAATGCAAACAGAAGCGTGTTTCCTGACCAAATGCAGTTGTTCCCTTTGTTTGCCTCTTTTCTTTGAACTTGACTTCGATGTCTCAGCAGTTTTCACTGAAGACCATGGTACCAGCAAACTTCGTGACTTTTTTGCTCTCAGTGACTGACGTGGGTAAGATAATGAAGATAGACCGTAGAGGTCCAAATTCTGCTTTCAGCCATGTTTGCAAGCCAGCAGTGGTTGTACAGCTCATTGTTAAGGACTGTAAAATGTATTCACTCTGCTGTTATTTTTCCATTAATTATTTGTGATCAGGTAGTTGTTTTTTTCACAATCCCTCTTGATACATGACATCTCTACAAGGCATTTTTCCAATCCATTTGATTATCAGAACAATTGCTGATTTTTTAGGTTATTGTTTAAAAGACCCTCTGCTTCTCAGACTGCACGGATCCACATTTACAGACTAGCTGGACTCACACCTGAGGAAATGTCATTTCATGGGGAAACAACTTTTACTGCTTGATTAAATTACTACTCATCGCTACAGCTCCGAGATGCTCTCTGCGCACACATCTGTCAGAGAAGCCCTCGCAAACAGCGAAAAAGAAAGTTTCAGGAAGCTCTCCCCAAACAGGTTTCTGCACTAACCATAGAGACCACCTCTGCATCTCCCGGTTCCTGCCGGCCCAGCTGCCAGCCTGCCGTGGCCCTCCCGATAAAGTCAGCCCCGAGAGAGTCTTGAAAGGGTGCCTGCAGGTGTGCTTTCCTGCCCGCGCCTATCTCTCCCCGCTGCCTCTAATGTTTCATTAACTCTCTCATCAGCGTACATCAGCATAGGAGTTATCTGAAGGCAAAGGGAGGCCGTGACTATTTAAGCGATGGGTTTTCGGTATCTGTGTTTCTACGAGCTCAAGGCGGAGACCTCAGAGGCGCCGGCTCAGCCTTCCTGTGCAGATAAAGGGTGCTGCTAGCCTGTGCTGCCGGCAGGGAAATGGAAATCTGCACGGGGTTATAGCTCCTACCTGCCCAGCCAAGCCTCGCTGCACCTAAGAATAAAACAGAGAAACGGCCATGGTTTGCTGCAATCAAAGGCCTAAAATATCTTTCAATGAAGTAATAAAGACGATACTTTGCTTTTCTATTCAGCTCTGCTCATCCTCCTGGCCATCCCCTCTGCCCCTGTA